GGCTAACGATCTATCGGCGGAATGTCGAGAACAACATATCTTACAATTAAATTGATTATTCCAAGGAGAATTGCACATCAGACGTGAATCGCCGATTTACTGAAAATCTGTATTCATTTATTATTAAGGACTTTGATCGAGTGAAGCTAACTCGCGACGGCAATGATTTCCTTTTAAAACAAATTTGCTTTGGATGCTTGTTGATCGCATCGCGCGATTCTCTTTCTCAACTTAGTAGTATTCCGATTTTAGTTCCCGAATACTTAGTATTTCCTTCTTCTAAGCAATCGCGTTCAGAACCACGCAACAACATCTGACAATAGATATAGAGCCGGAATTCCTCGGATCCCCAAAGTGCAATCTTATTTCAGATCCGCGCAAAAGTAATCGAGGTTACACAACGTTCAATTTTACTCGTGACATCTGTTACGAATTTTCCCTTTACCATAAAACTGTTGATTATAAAGAACAAGAGTTTCTCGTCTCGCTCTTGTGAGCTTTCAACATCGAGGGATTGCAAATTTGCATTTACAATTTTCTGCGGCGCCGTCGCAGCTGCTGAGCCAAAGAAGCTTGCGATAATTGAATTGCGACAGTATGTTTTAACATAGTAAATTTTATTCCTCACGTGTATTATTTCACTTATCCGATTAATTATTCGCGAATCCGAACTTAATTTCATTTACACGGCGGCGATGAAGATATCGCGTTCGCTGTGGCTAACGTAAATTTCGTTAAGAAACTTACATCTAAACGCTTTTGCAAAAGTTATCTACCTACGTTTGTTTTTATATCTTTCTTTTCTTTTTAATATTCATTCTTTTCGGTTTCTCTTTGTCAATTTTCTCTCAGAATCCTGAAGTCGTTTACAAGCCGCTTTGAACAACCGTTATGACATGGTTTACAATTTCACATTTATGAGAGAAAAAGTTTTCGATCGTAACAATTATAAAACCCAACAGAATAGTAAACGGAAATGAGATGTTCTTAAATATGTTTTCTCTCTCGCGTAACAAGTTTAAGTAATTCCTAGACAATCACTATATTTTTCTTTTTGTTATAATTTTCCATCCTGTATTAACTTCATAATATACATATATATATTCACTCAAATGTTGTAATATATTCCAATAATTATATATTCAATAATTACGAAGAAATTGAAGAGATACAGTTTATGTAACCGATATGGCATTAGGCAACCCCATCCCAACGCGCACACTAAATCACAAAACGAAAACCTACACGTTCTAATTATAGAGATAGCTCTGTGTGGCAAAATTTATAACACAACACTGAATATTTATGACTTACCGAGTAATTGACAGTCGGATTTACACGTGCCGATCACAGTTCATGTCACGTAATAATGAAGTCAACTTGCAATTAATTACTGTTATTAGCATCATATAAATAACATGGTTGAATACAAATTGTCTATTTAGTTACGCATTAGGTAACATTTACGTACGACTTGCGATAAATGACACGTGAACACACTACGTGTGTACTGTGATATTACCAATATGTAAAACGTCGAGACAACGCGTGACTCCGTATTAATCGTCCGCACATATATTCCCGCCTTCCAAGACTTTATTAATTAAACGTGTTCGCGATACAGCGAAAGTGCGCTCGAAAATCGACGCCCGAGCTCGCGCCGCATGTCGCTCAGTAAAATATAATTTTATATATATATTTTATATCTCGCATATTTCGCATCAAGCACGTCCGAAGCACCGGCATCTTAAAACGGGAAATTCAAAGCGCATTTTGTTCTCAATATTGTTGAGAAATTGTCTGTTGATTTACTTGCTTAACGATTATTGGCTTTTAGTGAAATCCGCGTCAATTATTTGCGAATATCGGTTTATCCGCTTGTCTCCTCGTCTCTCGCGCAATTCAAACGTCTTACGTGCGCTTACTTCTCTAAATTAATAACAAAGTTTACTCTAATTCAGTTTGACATGATTAATTTACTGATATGCGATTTATACATTTCTGAAAGAATATTTGAAAGTGTTATAGCAGTTTTGCGTTACATGTTCGTGTCCATCGCTCGTTCTTTGCGAAAATGCGTTTTTTTTTCTCGTCACATCGTACGTTTGAAATATAAAAATTCAACAATAAGATTTTCTCTTTACGTTTTCCTCGATTCGCATTCTTTCATTGAAAACACGTCGGATTCTCGGATTCTTTCTGATACAATTTTAGTACGATTTAAATTTTTGTCTGCACTTGAAATTTGACATAACGTTAAGTATAATGTTTCGGTAGAGAAATGAGATTTATTGTTTTATTTTAGCAATTAGTGTTCAGATCACACTCGAACTTCGAGATTGTACGAGAATATTCAAGAGAGCCGTGTTTTCGGCACGGAGATCGCGCGCGTACTGAAAATCCCAGCAACCACCCCCATCGACCCTCACTATCCACCCCCGTTCCAATACAGGAAGAGAGAGAGAGAAGGAGAAAGAGAGAGAGAGAGAGAGAGAGAGAGAGAGAGAGAGAGACGGTATATATATATATATAAATGTGTAAAAAACGCATTGACTGGCATATTTTGGGGATGACAAGAGCAAGAATGCAATTATGACGTCACCGCAAAAAATCAAGTATTCCTTTAACAAAATTTTCTTTTGTTTATTGCTTTTCTTTCTCTCTCTCTCTCTCTCTTTCTTTCTTTCTATCTCTCATCTATCTATTCTTTAATAAAATACTTTATTATAATAAATAGAAAATGGTGTTATTAATCTTGTTATCTTCTCGTGAATAATAAACGCCATGAATACGGTACACAAACAGTTGCATGTGAGAATCATCGCGCATTATAATTATCAGAATCATTAATATTATTAAATGCGGCTGGTATAACAATACTCTTTTATTTCACGTTAATATATTAAATATATTAATTGCTATAAAATAGAATGATTGAAGTTGTATTTTTTTAAATAGATGTATTGTGTGCGCACATGCAATTCAAATCGTTTTCTTAAAATAAACTTTTTTTTTTTTTACGTAAGCGTGAATTTCGTTTGAAAAGAATATTTTAATTTGTGTATTACGGCGCGTTTATAATCATCAGCTATACAAATGTAACAATTATACTGCCGTTCATTCTCTCCTTTCAGAGAAGATATAATATTACTTCCCGATAGTCCATTACAATGCGGTGTCGACTGAATCAAATCGGTGATACAATATTAAACGCTCAAATAAAACACAACGAAAACGAATGATTACACTCGCGTACTAATTACCTTCGTAATCTGTCGAAAATGCTATTTATAAACTGAAAACAAATATTTACCTGATGCAATTTAGCGCGATCTCAATAAGACAGCAAATATATAAGGTGCGATTGATCTCAAGCGCGTCGAACAAATAACTTGACAGCCAGAGAGATCAATACTACAGTTTCAACTTACAAGAACTTTGCGAAATCCAATTATCATGGTGGACTGAATTCCATATTCTTTCGTGTAAATAAATTGTATCGGGGCGTCCGCGCGTCTTTCACTCAGTGCAAATCTTATAAACGTCTCGGAATCACGTTTCAAACTCATCCATGCAGTTTGCTTTAGCGTGTGTCCTATCTTCATTACTTACGAGCGATCGATATTCTTCTCGCATTGTGACAAAAGAAATCCAAGGAAGCTGGTGTGTATTGTCGCTCTCCTCCTTTTCCTCTTCGTTTCTTCTCATCACTTTTTTCTTGTAATTCTTCAGATCACATTCAAATTACTGTTCAGCGCTGTGTATATTGTTGCTATTGATCGAAGTTCAATTCGTCGCGATCAATTCTCAGTTTATGCAAATGCGGGAAACATTTCACCAAACGATTCCGTTTGCTTGACCCTTCTAATATGTAAAATCAGAATGCGATCACGGCTGTGTGTGCCGACTTCGGGAAAGGCAATTCCAAGCACTTTAGAGCAATCGACCGATAAATTCGAACAGATAGAGACGCGCATGAAATGAAAGTGTATTAAAAGTTTAATACTGTCTCTAGATCGAATTAATCTCTTTTTTTCAAACTAATTTCGGACCGCGATAATTTCTTCGCGATGTTAACTGCGTGTTAGTATAGCAAGTGTATTAAAATCAGATTTACAATTGTCATCGTTTAAGCGCAGCGTGATAAAAAAAACTTTGTAAAAATTATTTAATCCGCAAATCGTAAATTATCTGATGGGAAAACAACACGTTTTATTTACATACACGAAATATATGTACATAATATTAAGCAAACATAAAATAAATTTGTTTGCATACAGTGTGATCAATAAAGTTCTTGGTTTGACATCAATTGATTTTGTATATCGACAGCTCGTGTTCCCTTTGTTGATACGTGTACATACATGTGTATGTACACTACGAACCGCCGCAGAATGACATACGGGTATTCAAGACCTCAATAGCCATTGAAAAATCAAACCATCACTTCGAAACACAAAAATATATGCGTACTATACATTATGTCATTTTAACAATTTGCTTCCCGTGAGTGTGACAAAATGTGCTCGGAAACGTAAAAACAGATAAAACAGAAATTTCACGCGCTCGTGAGAATCTGTTGTATCTCTCAAGAGTGTGATATCAAATGATATAATTGTTGATCATTTTTATTGAATTTTATTCCTATTTGTATTTATCTATCAATTGCCTTCTAAATAAATGAACAATTTTGTCCGAGTTTTCAAAACTATCGGAAATAAAAGATCGGGGAAAAAAGAAGAAAGAGTTTGCAATATACGATAGATATTTTACGCTTCGCGAAGTAGTTTGTCTCAACGTCTGATCGGACGGTCGCACAAAGAACAATGATTAAACGGCAAATTTTCAGGGAAAACACATGGGAAGAGAAAATTGTTTTTTACGGAATGCAATTCTTCATGCAATCTAACAAATCGGAAATCAATAAATTACTTATCCAGGAATGGATGGAGACGATTCCGCGCAAGCGGAACCGCATAATTAATGACGAAGTCAGTGTCAAATGTAAAGATGAATTTTTACATCTTTATTTCGTTATAACATATATGTGCTCTTTTTTTCATATATATAAGTTTTACTAAAACATATTTTTTATATTTGTAGTTAATAAAATTATACACACTCATTAACAACAATAATAAAAACAAAATACACATGCGTGATATTTAATATCTTCATACTGTTAACATTCTGATCAGAAAAATAAAATAAATAAAAATGTATCGATAAAACATCTTCAGGATTTCTTCATGCTTTATAGTAAAAAAAACTGTCATATGATATTACTGATATGTATCTGTATCAGATAGCACGATAGTGCTATCGCTGTCGGTTTCATTCATAATATTTTCGAAGTTAAAGCTCAATTTTTTCCTCGTTTGATTGCACGTTCGTTTGTTTTTTTCTTGTCGTATTTCTAACCTTTGATTAATAGGAATATACGATTCACTTATGTTGCCGAATTCGTCAGTAGATTTATCTGCTTGTTTGTTCTCGTCTTCGATATCGATGACGAGAATATCTTTCGTAACGAGTGTCAAAGATTTGTCAAGTTTTGTACATTTCTCCAAATTGTTTTCTACAGATCGATCGGTAGATTGTGTGCAGTGGCAGTTCTCTACGGTCAATTGAAATATCTGTTTGCTACATATATCTTCTATCACATTCGTCATGTCCGGATCGTTATCTTCGTTTTCGCTTATGAAATCATCGGGCGAAAGATCGTTAAACATTCTATCGATTGTATTATTCAATCTAGAAGAAGTAACTCTCTCCGTTTCCAGTACTCTTTCAAATTGTGGCCCGCGTTTCATTTGTCTTGAGTTCCTCACGGTAAAGCTCTCATGCACGTCGTTTAATCTTACTTCATTCAGTTTATTCAAAGTATTTTGCCGTCTCGATCTTTTAGGAGCGATCGCTATTTCTTCAAAAGATCGTTCTAAAGACGCAAGAGGCTCGTCAGATGCAAAATCGTCTACCTTCCTATTATTTTTGCTTTCTTTCACAGTTTTCTTTTGTGGTTTTTTTGACTGCGCTTTTGCGGTTTGTTGTACTTCAGTATTATTTTCTTTGAGATTTGTTACTTCTCTCAAAGGTTGCTTTTTCCGCGAGTTTGCGGTTCGTTTCTTCGGTTTTACAGTTCTAGTATCTTCAAATATTTTGACTAATTCGGGATAACATTTTTGAACCAAATCTTGCGGCTCAATGCTCGTTAAAACAATATCATTTACGTTATCAACATTTTCTCTTGCTTGCTCTTGATACTCTTTCAACAATTTTATTGCACTGTGCTCGTTATTCCAAATAATTTCATAACTAGCTATCGATCTTATATTACGTATTTTTAATATCTTATCAGGAATAAATAAGTTTGGCACGAGTAAACGTTCATCAAGCGTGAGATTTGGTAGATGTAAAAGTTGCCATCTAGTGGACAACGTGAATATTTTTTCAAACGCATATTTTGGTTCCCAACAAAGATGTTTGTCCATAAAATCCTAAAAGAAGGATTGCATATGTTTAGTCATATTCTGTAAATATGACTAAAGAACTATATGCTATATATAATAACACTTACAATAAACTGATTGATTTGAGGTTGTTTCCATTCTATATCTAATTTAGTTGGAACCGAATCTTTTCTGACAAGAAATTCCTCTAATAACTCTTGATTTGGAAAATTTTCCTTCTGAGTTGCTTTTTTTCTTAGAGAAATTTCATTTAACAACAATATCCTTTTGTCTCTACGTAATAAAAATTGTCTTTGTATGAGAAACTTAAAACATGTTATTTCTAAGACAATGTGTAATAGTAGTAATAGCAATAATCTACCTGAAGTCATTGTTACACTTTGTAAGTGTACCACAATCGGTGCAGCCTGATTTTGTGTGTCTCTGCAACTTTCCTGGATGACCACATGATGTGCATAAATTTGGCAAATCCCACTCAGCTCTAACCAACCTTCTATCAGTTCTCCACTCATGAATTCTAAAAAAAAAAAAAAAAAATAAATAGAAAAATAATTCAAGTGTAACAAAAAATTATAGAATAAAAGTTACACTTAATATTCAAACCTTTGTAAGACATTGTCATCTTCTACAGTCTTAAAAAATTTTAAAGCTGCTTCCTTTCCAACACCGCTTACTCCTTCGTCGTAGTCACAACCACACAATAAGGCCAATGCTATCATTTTATTACGTCCTATGTTCAATGACTCTTCTATCCTGTCCAGACTGTAGACATCTACTGAACCTCCACGATTTCCATTAGTACTTGTACAAAAGTTTCTGTACACTACTTTTGCACCGTACAAAAAGCAATCACTGTCTTGACTTATACATCCATCAACAAGCTAAAAAATATACATGTATTGTGTATAAATAAAATATAATCATTAGTTTATTATTATCAAGATCAAGAAAATTGAATATACCCCATCTTCATTCAAATAGGCACACAAAGCTTCTGCTTCACCATTACTCTGTATACAAGTGATACCCATGTATCTCAATAGTTGTTTGCATTCATTTAGAATTCTATTAAATTGTGTCCTTCCTACTTTTCTCGCAGTCTTTTTTTCTTGAAACCCATTGCGAATGTCGTTCCTTCGTGCAATGGTTTTGTGCTTAAGAGTAGGAGCTTCTCCGTCCAATACAAATACTGGAAATATTCCTTGCATAAGGAGAGTTGATGTCCGGAAGTATAAATTTCTGCAATATTTAAATTATATAAATTAATTAATATTCGTGAATTACAACAGTGTTAATTACATATAGAGATATATAGAAAAATATACTGTGTATAAACATTTTCTATATACTAATATATTTTTTATTACGACGTAAACATTATATAAAAAAATTATTCTATTGTTTGTAAACATCTACCTTAAATACATCTTTGGTTGTATTGCATTGTCGACAATTAGTTGACTGTCGACGACCCATCCACTTAAATCGATCGCGATAGTCTTTCCCTGTAACTCATACAGTGGTTTTGTCTCGCAAAGAGGCGATAAAATACACCATAAATCCTTCACACCCATCCTGCATCAGGTTTTTTGAAATTGAATCTAATCAGATCTGTCGTACGTCGTACGTTGACTTGCGACATTCGGCACTCTGGTAGCAAATATTCACATTATTAGCAGCAGAGAGAGAAGACTTGAGAACGATCATATGAAAAACTGTAATAGCTTTTTGGCTTTCCGACCTGTAACCTAGCGCTATGTCCATGCGTGGTGCACATTGGCAACTACACCCATGTCCACGAGCGACTTGTCGATACGTACGCTATGTCCAAACGTGAACATGGTTCTATTCCGTATTGTAGAACAGGCTGCAGTCTTCTCTCTGTCTTTAGTTACGATGGGCTTGGCCGCTCTCAGGCTTCTCTCTGGTTACGATATCTTCTGTTTCAAAGTGAAGACTCAAACCAATAAAGGAAAATTTTCATAACATCGAATAAATTATTTTTCCTAATTTGAATTACTAGCACAACACAGGCGCGCGCTACGCGCACGCTATTGTTATTTTTATTTAACGTGTTGTCAGTTAACACAACCTGTTACCGCAATGACAGATAGTATATACGTCTTATAAACCATATAATACACATATGAGAAATGTCAGAAATAACGCATGAAAATCAAACTCAAAAGAGTAACACCGCCGCGGTCGCGCGGCCGAGGTCAGTGACTTCACCGCAGTCGCGCGAC